GGGACTCCAGGATCATGACCTGAGCCGAAGGCAGTCGCTTAACCAACTGAGCCACCCAGGCGCCCCAATTTTTTTTTTTTTAATCTGCCACTTAGGCTCAGCTAGGATGAGGATTGCAGTATCATGTCCTGGTCAGGTGTTAGTTCTTAGAGTTTTACAGCTCTTAGTGGAAAGGCAGTAAACTATCATGTTGGAGATCATGAGCTCTGATCTCAGACTGCCTGAGTTGAATTCAAGCTCTGCTACTTACTAGCTACATGGCCTCCCATCAGTTACTTAATCCTTCTATGCCTCAACTCTTCGTATATAAAATGGGATGACTCTAGCTCCCCTATGTATGATTATGAGGGGTTAAATGAGTTAAAATCTAGGGACAGTTGTTAGCACATAAGTATTCAGCAAATGTTAGCTGCTATTACTAGTAAGGACTTGATTTAAAAGATCACATACATTCCCCTGGAAGATCTTTTTCATTCATGCGCCATTACTGATTCAAGGGGATTCCTCCCAGTATCAACCTCATGTTCCTGCTCCATTCTAAGCAGCAGTGTGCAAGGTCAGATGACATCTCCGTGTCAATGACTTACCCGTATTTGTCAGCCAGGTCCCGTGCTTGCCTTTCATTGACTTCCCTCTGGTCTGGCAGGTCTGCCTTGTTGCCAATTAATACTATATCTGGATTTTCACAATAAGCATTTGCTTGCAGTTGGCCTTAGGAAGAAAGCAGATGGACCGAGCACGTTAGTTATAAACAAGTAATGTCAAATGACTGCTCATACTTTGAGTTCCTTTTCTTTTTTTCATACTTCAAATTCCTAATTTAATTGTTCACCTCCAGCGTGGCTGCTTGCTAGTTATATCATATTAGTCAAGTTACTTCACTTTACTCAACTGCAGCTTCCTCATCTATAAAATGAATGAAGATGATGCCTCAAAAATTGCAGATTGTGAATATGAATAATGATTGATATGAAGCACCTAGATGATCACCTATCAGTACTCTTGAATACCTGGGGACATGTCCTCCAAGATGGACATACTGCTTCAGACTATTTGTTCTTCAAATATATGTAGAGACAATAGAACAGGAATTTTAAGTGTGTAAGTTTGCTCTTTCCTTTAAGAGGCTGCTACATTTTTTTTTAAGTGGGCTCCACACCCAACATGGAGCCAATGCAGGGCTTGAACTCATGAACCTGAGATCAAGACCTGAGCTGAGATCAAGGGTCAGATCTTAACTGACTGAGCCAACCAGGTGCCCCACGGCAGCTACATTTCTATCTCCTGAAGTCCAAAGTGAAGACCTATTAGAATAGAATGTTTCCGAACCACCACAAATTTATGCAGAAACAATTTTAAGACAGGTGATTGTTTTTCTTTTTCTCCAGGATACACTGTGCAAAAGAGAGAAGAAAGAGGGAGAGAAGGTGGGAGGGATGGAAGGAAAGAAGGAAGGATGAAGAAGGGTTGGGGGAGGGAAGGAACAAGGAAGGAAGGAAGGAAGGAAAGAAGGAAGGAAATGATAAAAAATCTGTCAACCCACATTTTTGAAGTTACGGGGATTACTTTAATTTCTATTTCAAGGCATGCTGTATGCAACTTTGCTGAGGAGGAAGATAAGGCTTACCCTTTAACACTGATTATTTGGGTGTTAAAAATTGAAGTGTTATGAGACATGCCAATTAATTATCTTAAATCCCAATAGTATTCTTCTGGATCTTTTTTTAAATAAGGAAGAATTTTATCTGCTTTGATAAAGAATGAACAAATCATTCTCTGAAAGAATCTAATAATCTTATTATCTCTTTATCTCCTCAGAATCTAATAATACCACCAAAATTTAGAGAAAGAAATACAATAATAAAAGGAAATAGAGACAAATCCTAGGATAAACACTCAGTTGGAGAACCAACGAAGGAAGTCAGAATTTGTTGGTATTTGTCCCCATGGTAGCAACTGTATTATTGAACTAACTTTTAAAGCAGTTATATGTATTAATTATAAATATATAATAATAAGAAATACATGTTTTTTGAGTATCTATTCTGTGCCAGACACTAATCCCAGCTTTGGGTTATTGCGATGGAACAAAGCCAACAAAGTCTGTACTTCATAGAGCTCACTTTCTAGTGGCAGAGAGTCAAAAGGACAAGTAAGCAAAGAAATACATATGTCAGGTGGTGGCAGTGATAAAAGGGAATATAAAGTGTACTGAGGAGATACAAAGTAGTGAAGCATACTAGTTTATTTTTTAAAGATTTTATTTATTTGAGAGAAAGTACGCATGTGCGCGCGCGCACACAAGCGGAGGGGAGGGGCAAAGGGAGAGGGAGAAGCAGACTCCCCCCTGAGCCCGACGCTGGGCTCGATCCCAGGACCCTGGGATCATGACCTGAGCCGAAGGCAGACGCTTAACTGACACGGAGCCAGCCAGGCGCCCTGAAGCATACTAGTTTAGACAGGTGGTCAGGGAAGGCTTCTTCCAAGAGGTGAAGTTTGAACAAACCCTTGAAGGAAGTGAGAGAACTGTCACACTCCATAAATGGGAGAAGAGAGATCGAGGCAGAGAAAATCAGAATGTACAAAAGCCACAAAGTAGGGAATGTGCCTTTTGTCCTGGGAATAGCAGGAGAGACGTTTGGTGGGAGGCCAGTGAACTGGGACAGATGAAGAGTAAATTACACAGGAATCTAAGGCCTTATCACCAAGGCCTTACAGGTAAGTGGAGGATTCTGGATTTTATTCCAAGTGAGTTGGGAGGTCCCAGAGGGACTCTGAGCAGGGGAATAACGTGATCCAGTGTTGTTTTTTTTTTTAAAGATTTATTTATTTATTTATTTGAGGGAGAGAGAGAACGAGTGGGGGGAGGGGCAAAAGGAGAGAGAATCTTAAGCAGACTCCCCACTGAGCGAGGAGCCTGACTTGGGGCTCAATCCCATGACCCCAAGATTATGACCTGAGCTGAAATCAAGAGTCGGATGTCCAGGGCGCCTGGGTGGCTCAGTTGGTTAAGCGACTGCCTTCGGCTCAGGTCATGATCCTGGAGTCCCGGGATCGAGTCCCGCATCGGGC